AAGCAACCTCTCTAAATGACTTAATTGATCCCTTGGAGTGAAATTGAAATGTACTGCAAACCGAGGTTAGATGTAGGAAGTAATGTCATACACACGTAGTGCTTGTATACACTTTAACCCCTCGGGAAGATTGCAGAGGCTGTATTTACATTCCCAGGGAAAGCTCTGTGCGAACATTGATCATAACATCAGGAGGCTCAGCACCCTGACATGGAAACCACTGTGGTGGAACAGAAACAGTATGGCAACCAGTCCAACACTGACTGTGTTTAAAGTCTCCACCATTGAGCTGTAAACATTATGTTGTGGTATCCCTTTGTGTCAGGCCTTAAATAAACATTACAGACACATTTAAATGCTGCAAGATTCATTGAAATCAACTTGTATACACGGACACATGCAAATAACTAGAATAGCCACAGACAAAGACTACTACTACAACAAGACTAAATACTTGGAGGAAGAGAAGTGGCAGTGCAGCCACCGACAGATACGCAGGTGTGAGGTCAAGCTGTGATGTGTTTTTGCGAGACCTTTTTGTTGAGCCTTTTATGAGCAGAGAAAATTGTCGTAGTGTGTGTGCCTAGACCTCCGGCATCTTCCCTGCGGAGCTGCCCCTGGCCGCAGATACCAGCTCTGTTTACTTCTGGGGTAAACCGTTTGGCATTTGAATAAACTGAACACTGTCACGGCCCGTTGGGCTCATCACAAGCATCTGAACAACAGCAGGACTCACGCTTTCTATTTTGGTGGCTGCTGGTTTGTTGTCTTACTGAAGGAGTCCCTTGTGTGCTTTGTTTTTTAAGCCAGAAGAAATTCATAATGTACAAATATATCTTTTAGACTGTAACAGAAATATGATCGATGATAAAACAGCCGGACAAAATTGACACAATGGACACATTTTTTTAGGCTTTCGCTGAACTGAAACTACAGTTATGCATTTCAATAAACACAATCTGCTGTGTTCGCAGGTGGGAAAGTGACATTACAAATATCCTATCTGCTTGAACTATCTTGACCTAAGGTTCAAAGATACTATCAGTCTTAAAGCATTCCTAAACGCCCTATCTTATCTTAACGTCAGTTCTTAAATCGGCACTCGTCCTGTCATGCCTGAATGGCCACAAGACTGCCTGTAACTTTGATTAAAAGATGGATAAAGCATAATATAAATGTCCCCCGTCACTGGCTAGTCTCTTATCTGTCTGTCCATTTGATCGTCAGGTAAAAAAAAGGAGCCGCTTGCTCCGTGTGTCAGGGACAACGATTGCAGATCAAAAGACAATTAATCTGTCAAAATGACTGACAGCTATTTTTTGTTAAATGGGAAGAAAAAGCCTTCTGTTCTGGCCAAAAAGAGTTATTTGCACTGTTGGATCAGATCTGTCCAATTCCTTATTTTCATAAGATTTACAATCAATACATGTCCGGCCAGTTCATCAACACTTTGTCTACCATTGTTGACACTGGGCTCCTATTCATTATCCAGGTCTATTGTGCAACAAGTGAAGAACCCACAGTGAGGCAGTGGAGACCAGAGTGGATTGATGAAAAGCTGGGGCAATGTTTTTATTAATTGACTTTGGAAATGGTCCTGCTGAGATGTTTCAACAGAGGCTGATCCCTCTCGTTTAGTGAAGCCCACCTTAATTATCTGGTGCTGACTTTATATCTGGCTCTTTTGTCTGGACAGCTTTTCAATGGGAAATCATGGATGAAAGGACACAATGAAAACAGATTTTGAATCAGTGTGTGTTGGAGACACTGTGAATGTAAATTAGTACTTGATTCATTTTCATTGAATAAAGGCTTGTAAACATCCAGTGTTACTGAAAACACATTTTCAGATGAAAGCAAGTAAGACATCAGTAGACCCCCTGCTCAGTGATGCAGGGTGTAAAGCTTCAACAAGATTTGATAATTAATATTTCAAAAATGTAGACAACTGAGCATTGCTAACCAAGTATATCTCATGTACAATTTTCAGTCACTTTACTTATATACTACTTTTAGATGACTACACTACAACAACACAAAAGAAGGGAAAATGTAACTTTAATTTTTTATTTTATCCCACCTCATTTACCTGACAGCTAAAGTGACCGCATAGCAGATTAAATATAAAAAATAAAAAAATATTTTTATATACTGATATTGAAATTTAGTGACATTCATTTACTTTTTTCAATCTTTGTCTTCAGCTGCGGCAGTATGCTGTATGTATGACTAAGTCAGCTCTGTGCTGCTGTTTCTGGTAGTTTCTCTTTACTGGTTGGCTTGTTGTGATGTTCCCTGAGACTCAGCTGTCCTTGGTGATGTTCAGGGACACGTGACTCTGATCTCCTCCTGGGGCAGAGTCGAGGCTTCACCGTCTTCCCTCTTGTCCTTCGGCTCAGCCCTCATCTTCTCGGGGGATCAGAACTGCGAGGGCCTCAGAGCTCTGCAGGGACAAAGCGGAGGAAGGTTGTTATGGTAAATAACCTGCACATTATCTGGGTGCACAACAGAGATATTTATTATCGTATATATTTACATGTGTGCAGTATTGCTGTTTTGAAAATGAGCTGCTATTCTCCCAACTCTCTAAACCCCATAACCTCGCCTGATCCTAGTTATGTTGTTTGTCCATAGTAAAGAGCCGAACGTATGCACACCTGTAGATCAACAGGTGCGTAGGAGAATAGGTTGGCAATACAACACTAAAGTCTCCCGCACACTATCCTCATCACTTCCAGTAAGAGATATTCAATAACAATGCTTCAGTACAAAGACCTTCCTCACATTACATTTGATTAATTCCAAAATAGCCTGATGAAGGTTTGTCTACCAAAACTTTATTTAATTTGTTTCGCAGCGGATTAGTGTCAAACATCACATGGTTTATTTGTTTTATTCGAATCAAAGAAGCAAACGCTATAAAGCCGGTTGATATTAGAGAGGCCCCCGGAGGTGGAAAATAGCTGAGTGCATGCATGGCACAGGTACATATTTATCCAGCTGAAAGATTGGAGAAAGGTTTGAGAGGCTTTGCAATTTGTCCAGGCTTTAGTAAACAATGAAGACAGATTGGGTATGAGTAAGCACACAATGTTAACACAAACACAGACAGGCATGGCAATTGTGCTGGATCAGGTGGAAGCCATGCAGCACCATTGTTCAATGTACCTCCCATTGGTTTTTAAAGTGGTTTGACTCAGCCGTCATTGTATTTAGATTTTTAGAGAGATTATTTATTTTATTTAGGGCTGTACATTTTTTCATTATCAAAGAAACTGCTGCTTATTCTTTTGATTAATTGATTATTCATTTGGTCTTTAAAATTTCAGAAAATTAAGAACTGCAGTTTGTCAAAGTCCAAGGTGATGTTTTTAAATAACTATACGATACAATATGAATATACTTTAATGTCAGTCCAAAACCCAAAGACATTCAGTATAATATAATTTAAAAAGGGAAAATTGAAATCTTTATATTTGATTGACTGAAAACAACATTTTCTGCCTTTTCCGCTTGAAAAATAACATTAACAATCAATTTATTATCAAAATAGTGGCGATTTCTTTTTCTGTATTAACTTATCAATTGGTCGACTAGTAACTGCAGCTCTAGATTTAAATTATGTTGCATTTGGATCAGAGGCATCAATGAGTGCATTGTTTCACCAAAACATGGCTGATAAACTCAACAGCAGGACTGAATGTGACAGGAAGTCTCTCATGACTCAGTTCGTTGTCCAGAGTCTTTTATCGCTCGCTGTTCTGTGTCAGCGGGCTCTGCTCCTCTCTCCACTTCCCTCTCCTACACTTGTGAATCAAAACACAAAAACTCCTTTTCAGAACAAAATTGAACCCTGAGACTCATGTATGTGAAACCTCACACAGCACCCTATGGTTGGTGTAGTTATTAAAGCCCCGGCCACACGAGGACGATAACGCAAACGGACCGCAATCGTTATCAAAAAAGTATTCCGTCCACACGCAACAGGCACCAGAAACGTGTCCGTTCACACGAGACCGCTCGAAAGCGCTGGAGACGCTGTAGTACATATGCCAGGCCTGTAAGTGGCGCTGTAGTCCTGCCACAAAAGCAGCGAAGAAGACTTCCCGCGCATGGTTGCCATGGTTGCCCTTCTGTTTATTCTCCGCTGTGGACGCTCTGGCTCTTTTTCTCCCTCCCCGAGGCAAGCGCTGTAAATCTCTCCGGTAGTCCACCAGCAGATGAAAAACACCCACCTCTCCGCCTCTTCCAAGGGACGAGGGGACCATGCAGCAGAGTTATACTATTTTTAGGCATATATTATAGGTCTCAGATATATATATATATATATATATATATATATATATATATGTTTTTCTCAAAATACCAAACAGATCACCCATTCTAGCCATGCCTCATACCCCTCTATTTCAGCCCTGTTATTAAAGTGCTGATTCTGGGTCTGTAGCTTTAAATGTTGCTGCTGCTGGCCACGCCCCTTTGGAGCAGGCATAAGCTCTCCTCTGTGAAGAGAGGTTTCTACCCAGATTCTCAGCTGAATGCTGCTGTGATTAAACGCAATATTATGTTCCAAACCATGAGGATTATTTTTAAAACAGTATGGAGCTCAAATGCTTTTTACAGTACCTTTTCTTATACTCTCTCCAGTACAGCATTAGCTCTGAGTGTTAGCGATGCTTGCTAATGTAAACACAAACCATATTACTTCCAAAACAAGTCACACATTGTTTCTGATACAGCAACGTTTCTGATAGGGCCGTGGGCGTAAAGCCAGCCCACATTTGACTAATGTCGTCATGACCGCAGCAAATCTGGATCAGCTCCGTTGTACACCTGTTTTAAGAGATGTGGGTAAGGAGAAAAGAGAGAGGGTTGTATTTTCGGACACTTTGTGAGTCTCCTTACACACCGGGGACACATATTTATGTATAAAAGACATCAGAAAGTGCATTTTTCACAATAGGTTACCTTAAACTAAGTGTTTTATCTGTCCTGTCTAGGGAGTGGCGTTTGCCTCTCTATTTTTCATCCTGGTGTCCATCACCACCTTCTGCCTGGAGACCCATGAAGCCTTCAACGAGCTGCAGAACCGGACGGTGCAGATTGTCGAGGGAAACGTCACACGGAAAGAGGAGAGGCCGGAGATGGTGACCAAGCCCATCCTCACTGTGGTGGAGGGCATCTGTGTGGTCTGGTTCACTTTTGAATTCCTGGTGCGCATCGTCTGCTGCCCAAACAAGATGGTCTTCATCAAGAACACACTCAACATCATTGACTTTGTGGCCATTCTGCCATTCTACCTGGAGATGGGCCTGAAGGGTCTGTCCTCCAAAGCTGCCAATGACGTGCTGGGCTTCCTCCGCGTGGTGCGCTTTGTTCGGATCCTCCGTATCTTCAAGCTGACGCGGCACTTTGTGGGCCTGCGAGTGCTGGGCCACACGCTGAGGGCCAGCGTCAACGAGTTCCTGCTTCTCATCATCTTCTTGGCACTCGGTGTACTTATCTTCGCCACCATGATATACTACGCTGAGCGCATCGGGGCCCAGCCTGACGACCCCACGGGTTCCAACCACACACACTTTAAGAACATCCCCATCAGCTTCTGGTGGGCGGTGGTCACCATGACAACGCTGGGCTACGGAGACATGTACCCACAGACCTGGCTGGGCATGATGGTGGGGGCTCTGTGTGCGCTCGCAGGGGTCCTGACCATCGCCATGCCGGTGCCCGTCATCGTCAATAACTTTGGGATGTACTACTCGCTGGCTATGGCCAAACAGAAGCTTCCGAAAAAGAAGAAGAAGCACAACCCGAACCCAGACGCTCCGACTGACTCTGCCTCGTTTGTGAAGTCGGAAACAAACTCACACAGAGACAGCACTCAGAGCGACACGTGTCCGCTGGCCGCCGAGGAGAACGTCAGCAGGAACCGCTCAGGTCAGCACACAATATTAAAGGGTCAGTTCACCCAAATGACAGGAACATGCTCTCGATGGTATCTGGACAAGCAGAGAGTTCTGTTTTTATTTGCTCAGGATTTAATTAGAGAAATGTGTGGTGCTTACATGTACCTTTTTTAAATGTAAACAGTAATGTCTTCTTATAGAAACAGTGTTTGGTTACTCAGACAGCCTTCATTGGAGGTTCTTTCACTCATATAAATATTTTTGTTTCATATTATATTGTGTTTCCTGTGGAGGATCTAGAGTAAAGGGAACATTGTTGCTGGAAAGAAATGTTTGAACTATTATTTAAAATGTATATTTCAGTGTTAGCAGCACAAACACTATAGCATTCACCTTAGTTGTTCTTTGGCAGACATTTTAATGGCAAATAAAACAAATGGCTGCATGGCTAGATATCATGAGAGGAAAGTAAGAACATTATTTATTTGTAATTTAATTGAAGTGACCTTTTTAAAATAATGTTGTTATTTATTGAATTTATCAGGATTTTGATTTCAAAATATTATTTTTGTCTTCCTGTTTGTTTAATCAATTATAAATATGTGAGTTATACAGTAACATAATTAGACTATGTATGCTTATATTTCCAAATGCTTTTAAGACTGTCTGACAGCGGAACCATGATTTGTCACATAGACAGTTAACACACCACGATCAAAATACTCCTTACAAAATCTCAGACAATTGAATTTCATCACAGAAAATACAGATTTTATGCCACAAACCTCTAGCTTTGTGTGGGCACTCAGGCTCTCAGTAAAAGCTTTGGCATTTACATCACTATGTGTTTTTGTCCTCCTGTCAGACTCCAAGCAGAACGGGGATGCAAATGTGGCCCTTTCAGAGGAGGAAGGCTGCAGCCTGACCCAGCCGCTGTCCCCCAGTGAAAAGTGGACCCTGCGGTGCTCCAGAGGGCGAGATAAGACTAAAAATGAGGCCACCTGCTTCCTCCTGACCGCTGGTGACTCCAACGCCCATACTGGTAAGTTACAGCACATATCTGATCTGAGCACTGGTTTAATTCCACTACACTCTGGGAAAACATGTACTAAGGCACTTTTAATGTTTTGGGTACTAGTTAGGGCTGCACGATATTGGAAAAAACTGACATTGCGATTTTTCCCCCCCCTGCGATATATATTGCGATATGAAAACATACAGGAATTGAAGAAAAGACCGTTTTTTTTTCCGCAAACCATCCTTTCTTGAACTTTAATGCTATACAATTGGTATTTTTTTAACATTATTTAACCGGATGAAGGATTTTAGTCACGGACGTCTGGATCTTAAGTTATCAGAGCAACAAGCTGAGCTAGCTCGGTTAGCAGCGCCGAACTGCCCTGGAAACACATGAAACTACTTTATTCAGTGTTTTGACCTTTAATCACCGGGTCCGTTTGCTTTGGAGATTTGATTGTGATTGGTGGTTTGCTGTGCATGCAGAGCCTGCATGTCACTCACTCAAGTACCCCTGACATGAGAGCAGCGCAAGTTTTCCTTTTGTAGCAAGCAGCAAAAGAATTGTAACATGACGTGTTTGAGTTAATTTGCCTACTTAATATCGCAAAAATCGCACGTCCTGCGATGTGAATATCGTGCATGCGCATATCGCGATTATCGTCACGACACGATATATCGTGCAGCCCTAGTACTAGTGAGATGATAGATTGATACCACTCCCATCTCTGATTGCTCAGGACTTGAAGCAGGAAGAAACAGCTAGCCTGGTTTGTCTGAGGGTAAAAAAAGAAAATAAATTGCCAACCAGCATATAGATTTACAACTTCTGTTATATATTGTTTGTTCAATTTGTACAAACAAGAAATTGCAAAAATGGCATAGTGTTTTCTAACCCAAGTGTGGGTCTATCTATACTCAGGTTCAACTGTAGGTATTTGTGATGCTATGTCTATGGGATTATTTATAGATTTCTGACCTTCAACACCAATATTCTGTATTTGACTATTGATAAGTTGTGTGAAACTGGTAGCATGGGTACAAAGAAGCCCCTTTTTAGGTCTCTTTATTGATATCCGCTGTCAGCCTGCTATCGCTCTCTGCTTGAATGGCTGCTGGATCACACATCTGAGATTCCCTAAGTACCTAAAAGCCCCTCGGGAAAAGAGTCTCTATATTTGGCAGTCGTGGATTCATTCATGACATCCTGAGCTCACATCCCACCCGGTCAACATCCTGACTCATCTGCAAACAGCCCAACGACACTAAAGGTGTTTTCCTGCAAAACTGCACTTTACCGGGATGCATTTTTCTACCAAAGCTCATTAGCGCATCACTGTCGAGGCTAAAAAAAACACATAAATGGGGGGCACTCACTGTAGCTTGGCTCCTACGAGACTATATACTCCCCCCACTTTTTTTGACAGCCCATTACAAGCAAATTTTATTTAAACGTGTTTGTTGAAAGCCTTGTGAATCCCTGAATGGGTTGAGTGTTGTAGATTGGTGTCGGTTAATAGCATGTTGTCACATGCATATAAAGAAAAATCAGTTATATCTTTCAGATACACGAGAAGGGATATTTGTGGACCTGCTATGCTCAGGGTAGGAAATAATACGTCAATGTAGAATTGACAGCATCACAGTCACAGTGGGAAAAACACAAACACGAAGAAATCATCACCAGTCTCCTTTCACGCTGACTTCTCTAATAATACGCTAAATTATCTGGTCAGCTCATGCAATTGCCAAGTGACGTTTTTTCTGATGGCAGAGACAAAAGCAATGGGAGGCTGAGCAAAGCCAGAACAGCTCAAAACGAATCTTTGAGAGAGCGAGGGGAGGGGGTAATTCAATCCCGAGCCCTGTGTCTGGTGAGGATGTGGATAATGATATCCTATTGTATAACAGGGTAAAAAATCACACATTCACAACACATTTTAGTCGACATTACCTGTAAAAATGTCTCAAGTGGTCTTTCATTGTTTGCTATCAGTGTGGAAAATGACTGTGGCTGAGTTGTGATTCAAAATCAAGAACTCATATTTTCTTGACAACATGCAACATGTGATTGCAGCCATTTTGAGCTGCTCACAGGAGAGAGAGTATGACTCAGTGGCACTGCTCTACGAAGCCATGCCCATAGGGGACGGTGTAAGGTTAATTTCAGGGTTACAGGATATAAGGTATGGATCATATTTCACCAGAGCAGTATGGCAGGAAGCAGAGAGAAGGACAGATGGATGCAGCAGGTCTGAAGATGCTAAGATGATTATCAGTGACAGGAAATGGTCGCCCGCCCCGCAGTGGGAACACAATGCTGGTGGGTTTGAAGTGATTATGACTGTCACAGGGAATCACAGACAGTGTTAACACTCGCTGTCACAATTTATACATGAAAACGCTGTCCTGGTGGAAAGCCCATTGCCTCAGAGATGTGACAACCGCCAGCTCTTATCCTGATGAGAGCATAATGGTGAGGCAAACTGTTGTGTGCTGCTAAGAGGAAGCGGCAGGCAGAAATTCTGACAAGCAGAAAAAAGGCTTGTTAGCTCGGAGGAGGCTTCATATTCCCAGGTGACTCGTCTGGATGATTGCTACTAATAGGTTTCCATTAACAACATGGGTGGTCATAGCAAAAGCGTCCTGCTGTCCTCTGACTTTCAGATCTGTAGGATCTCTCTGTCGAAGTAAAATATAAGTCAATTTATCAATTGCTCCTTAAAGGTCCCCTATCATGCAAAATACACACAGTGTCAGGAAATAAAACCCTCTCTCTTTTCCTCCGTACCCAAATCTAAAAAAAACGGGGGTACAACGGAGCTGATCCAGATTTGCTGCCGATATGACGTAATATCTTAAATGTGGGCTGGCTTTACGCCAACGGTCCTATCAGAAACGTCTGATAGAAATAATCCTTGTTGTGGAACATAATATGGTGTTTAATCACGGCAGCATTTAGCTGAGTATCTGCCGGTAGAATTCTCCTGCATAAGCTTTTTTTTTTTTTTTTAAAGCTACGGACCCAGAACCAGCACTTCTCTAACAGGGCTGAAATAGAGGGGTATGAGGCAGGGCTAGAATGGGTGATCTGTTTGGTATTTTGAGCAAAACTATTCATTGACAGGTTTTTAATATATTTGTATATATCTGAGACCTATAATATATGCCTAAAAATAGTATAATAGGAGACCTTTAAAGGTGGGGTAGGTAAGTTTGAGAAACCGGCTCGAGATACACTTTTTGTTATATTCCATGGAATGCTCTTAACATCCCGATAGCAATGAATATCTTAAGTGCTTTGACAAAAAATCCATAAAAAAATGTCATCTGTGGAAGCCGTAGTACTGTAAAAAGCATGACCAATCATTCTAGCCGGCCCGGCTAAAATAACTGGATGGCCTACCTGCCTGTCAGCCTTCCATCTGTGCACAAACTTATCTCGTGCCCTCATTGGTCATGTTCGTGTGTGTTGGAGGAGGGGCTCTGTAAGGAAGTGGCAGATATTTTCCAGCTGTGTATTTTCAAATTCTAGCGCACTCGAGCTGGTTTATCCAAAATTACCTACCCCACCTTTAAATGGAAAATTACAAAGAACAATTATTACATCATTTATCAGAAAATAAAGATAATTCGCTAGCTCCTGCTTCTTAAATTGAGAAGATTATATTAATGTAAATTGTATTCTAATGTTAAAGAAACTTTCATTGTATGACATTTCATAGATTAAACAATTACATTTGTAGGATTGTTATATAATAAAATAAGAATAAGAATATTGATTAGTTTATAGAGACGAGTTCAGCCTGAACAGCTGTTATATAGCGGTGATGTTTAAATACACTTCCTAGAAAACACTTTCTAGGTCTTTCATGCTCATAAGTGACTGTTTGATTGTTTTCTGTCCTTTATGTTTCCTTACAGAGAGCTGTAAAGACCTCCTCGCTGCCACAGGAAACTACGCTCAGCCGGAGGTCACAACGCTGACCTGATGCTGATTGACTACGAAAAGGAGAAAGAGCAGGAACTCTCGTCGGACTACATGCTGCGCAGAGTGCATGAAAAAACTGGTGGATTTTGATTCAAAACAGAATTTCTTCGATTTTATTTTTGCTGCGTCATAAATCCTAAATCCTGTGGTAGAAAATCAGTTGGATAGCATATTTACCATACTACACTCATACACTCATTAACATGTCTCAAAGCATTTAGCATGTGTCGCATGACCTCCCATTGTAAACTATTCTTTAAAAACAGACTACCTTTAACATGCCAATCATTTAGTGAACATGTCTTAAAGGACCTGAAGACAAATACCTATACAACTATACTATTAAGTATGCCAGGAAAAAATATTTTGTATGTACCAATATATGGTATGTCAGATGTATTATGCCAAAAATACATGGATATCATACTCCATCAAGTCACATTTTAATGTATGCAAGCCAGCATACTTTTCTGGCTATTCTTACCCACAATCCTTTACACAGGATACTGCATATGAGCAAAAGGGTCGAAGTTCAAGGTGTAATGATATGAAGTACCGTGTCCCAATTGTATGCAAACTGCATTCAACTGTAGGTCATTTGTATGGGCAGCTGCAGTACATACTAAAAGTAAAACGATGATTCTGATCACAGCCATATCTTTTTCTCAATTATCTTTTTGTTATGACAGACATGGTCCTACATGAACATTTACTGCCATCGTTCGAACATTTTGGTTATTTCATATCACCGATTTCTGTGTTTATTTCTTTGCGCTTTTCTTACATAGACTGAAGTGGGCGGGGCTCAGTTGGATAGTGTGATGTCATGTCTATGAACTAATCAGGATTGAGCATTTGAGTCTAGTGCTAGTTACTGGGTAGTTTGGGCATTGTCATCCAACATGGTCAAATCAAACCACAGGGTCTTGATGAAGCAGATCTGCTGAGGTTTTGGGTCGTAATACTAACTTTAGTTGGTCATTACTAGTTATTGGTCAACATTGACAGCTACTTAATAAGTAAGATACTTAAATATGTAATATTACAGAGGAAGACTTTCATGGGTTTAAATCTGAAGAAAGTCTGTTTTAACCATATGGCAACATTTTTGCTACAGAGATGTTGCTAAGCGGTTGCTTGAAGTAATATGTACAATCAGTTTTTTAGAACTAAATAAAATTAACTTTGTCATTGGGATTAATGCCTTTAATCCATCAAAGTTGTTAACTGTCCAGTAAGAACCCTTTATATATATATATATATATATACACAGTATATGGTAAGAACACCCAAACACTTGTGAATATGGGTTTGTACAGCAAAACTGTTACTGTGAACTGGGATTAGAGGATTTCTTTGTCGATCATCCGGTCTCTGCCTTCTGTCGTGCCACTGCTTTTTAACACTGACCACAGGGACAACATGCAGATATTTTGTCGAGACACAGCATGGTATGAATGATGCTCAGGCAACACATTGTTTGTAAATCCTTGTACAATAAAAGAGTTCAACAAAAGAAGAAACAAAAATCAATGGAGCAGTATTGTCTGCAAATCACATTAGCTGCATACAATAGATCCATCAGTGCTGGTTGAGTCAGGACCAAATATAGACTCTATTAGATTACATGTAGAATTTTTTGTACCATCATCACAAAGTACATACAGTGCAATGCCATCAGTTCCACCTGTGCCTCATGTTGAGTAATAGAGCTTCAATGTGTGCTTCTGTCTGTCTGATCCGTGGAGTCTCTGTTACATGTTTCCACAGAGAGAAGGAGTGTGCTTTCTTTTACTTGTGACTTATATTCCTTATGGTCTACCATAGTGGCCTTATGTTTAACAAACAAAGGGAAAGTTAATTTCATCTTCACTAGACTCCGTTTAAACGCTGACCCAGAGGTTGGTAATCATGTAAAAGTACAGTTGTACGTACAGTATGTAGCACATTATGGATAATTTCTTTAACTATTTTCTCCTCCTACTTGATTTTGCACTGTTAAATATCTGTTAAAGTTTGTTAAACAATAATGAAATGTTTTTATTTTCATAATTCATGTTTTCAGCCTCATTTGCCTATTGTATATATTCGAATGTGATGGAGAAGCACATCAGTTTCATATTTCCCATGGATTGTATAGATGATTGTGATGGATTTTAACCCAGTCCGCCTGTCCATTGTTATGTGTGCGCGCGTGATGTTGTATCATGTAGGCATGTTTCTATGCAGAAATAGAAATAAAGTATTTTCCCCCTTCTAGTGTTGAGGATAAATTCTTGTCTATTCTTACATTCGATTTTAAATTATATCACATCTTGCGTTATGGCATTTTCTTTTTTTCTCTTTTAGTTGCAGTTAGTGCCTCCTCTGCTGCTGCTGCTGTGTCACCTACTGTACGGCTATTTATAGAAGTGACAAGTGTCTGGTGGTTGATCTTGTGCTTGCTCAAAGTGCTGTAACGGCAGTCTCTGGGTGTTTCTCAATGTCGAGGAAAGCTGCTCCAGAGCCACTATTTCAAGGATGCTACGTCATCGAGTCCCGCCGAAGGACTGTTCCAATGTCCAGGGGTCCTTCTCAGGTCGATTAAATGGAATCCTTGCGTCCCTCACTTGCGTCGTTTCCCTGCGTTTAGTGCCTCCCACCAGGGAAGCATGGAGAGACGCAAGGAAACCACGAGAAGCAGGGAAATTAGTTTTAAGAGCAATGGGACGTCCTTTCCTCCGGAGCGTCACGTGAAGCGACGTCCGTTTGTGATGACTCCGCACAGCTGTTCGTCTGACAGCAGCTCTGTCCCCGTTATTTTCCCCCGCCTCTGTTAGTACACATTTACTGACACAAACATTTGTATCATCTGTTGTAGACCCAAATACATTAAATAAAATAAGAACTCATTCTCAAAAAAGATAAACGCCATTCTTAAAATGTATAAACGAACAATAGTTGGATTAATATTGATTAGAGTGCACAATAGAAATAAAATAATTCAGAGAAGAAAAAGAGATATGTTATCTATCAAAACCCAGTTAGATTAACATTCATTGCATTGGATTGCACACTTTGTTTGTGTGGATATGTAGCAAATTAACATGTTAAATAGCACTTAATGACTGACTGAATGGAAATGACAATAAATGAAAATGTAAACCGAAAAAAGCGATCATGAAAATCTTTCCAATAAATGAATAAAATAATTTTTGACCACTTTGTTGTTCAGATATATCACATATTTGTAACTGAATGATGCATTAATTGAAACAAAACACAGTATAAACTGAGGAGTGAGTCGCGTGAGTTTCATGTATTTTCTTCACTCCGCTGGGAAACTGCTCTCATGTCAAGAAGCATCAGATCAGTGCATGCGCTGCATCGTCCAATCAGTGAGCGATACACAGTAAGGGGGGCGGGGAGAGTATCTGAGGATTTCACCGGAGGATGGTCTGGTGGTTCCTCGGTTATCGCTCCTCCATTATCGCTCCTCGCTCCTCGATCCTCGGTCCTCCGGCAGAAATAAGAGTCATGGGACGCTACTCAAGATGGCGCAGACAAATCAACTTCCGGTGATACAGAGGACCGAGGAAATGAAAATAGTCGACCTGAGAAGGACCCCAGGATGCTTGGAATGCTACCGAGGCCGGCGTACTTCGTTGCGGGAAATTTCGATGCTGCACATGTGTAGACTCCGCGGTCTTAAAATCCCCAAAATGCTTTGCGCACGGACCAATTTCCAAATCTTTGGCGGAAATCGCACTCCATTTAAGGCAGGGCCTCGCATATGACGCACACCTGTTAGCCTGTTCCACAATTCTTCGTTTTCCGAGGCTAGGAAGGATTCTTGCCTCGCTTCTGAAGCAAGTGACTCGGAAGACATGTGCTACCAAGCAAGCGTCCTCGACATTGAGAAACACCCACCGCCATGCCTCCTGCTCTCCTGTGCCTCCATGATTATGTACCGAAGGTGTAGATGGCATACATAACACATCACCATGGAGATTGGGATGACAGGCAACACTAATTACTGCTCGGCTGCCTCCATCTCCCCCTCCCCCTTTCTTTCACAGGCAAAGAAAAACACACACACACACACACACACACACACACACACACACACACACACACACACACACACACACACACACACACACACACACACACACACACACACACACACACACACACACACACACACACACCTCAGCTCAGCTCAGCATGATCATCATTACTGTTGTTGCTCATGGGGTACGTTTTGATGCTCAGAGTGTTGTGCAGGGCACTGTGGCGTTGCAGGGTGAGGGGGGCAAGATGTAAATGAATATAAAGCAGACGCCATGTGTTTTAAATAAAATGCAGAGCCAGTATTTTACCAAAGCTGAATGTTGACGGAGATGTGATTGCTAAGGTAGAAGCAGGAAAACAGTTCTCAGTTTTGATATTTATGTTTTTGGCTACATATGGATGTTGTGATTGAATTGTTGCATCTGTGTTTTGCTTTTGCTCTCATTTTGAAATTGTCTTATGTTTGTACTTGTATTTTTACCTGTCGCTTCATTGGTGTTAGAACTAATTGCCAAAGTGCTGTTGTTAATTATGCAGCTGACTAACACTGGCATATTTACTGCAGTTTGAATTTCCATCTTGTGGAAGTAGGGTAAAAGTGATTTACAACCGAAACAACTGCTTTCTAATGCAAGTCATTTCTGTTTTATTGCTATTTGAATTCCCTGCTCAGACATCACTATCACAATCCCCTGGTTTGAACTGAGGCCACCTCACCAACAGCAACACTGAAGATATCATACAACACAGGTGATCTCCAGAGGGAAATACCACCTGAACAATCCTCTTCTTAAACTTGTGCACATCTCTCCGCTCAGAGGTGATAATTGCCCATCTGGATCCTTTGATTTGGTTGAATGCTATATGTTGATGACTCTATCAACACAAAGCAGCCATCATGCTCCTAACTGATAGTTTTCCACACCTGAACAACTCCATTAGTGAAGCAGCATCTCGTGCTCAGGGGGCCTGATGGAAAGATGATTGACAGATTTGTGAGGATGTGATTCATGAAAAGAGATATATGAGAGAGAGAGAGAGAGAGAGAGAGAGAGAGAGAGAGAGAGAGAGAGAGAGAGAGAGAGAAGAGGTAGAGAGATAGGAGAGAGAAGAGAGAGAGATAGAGATAGCAGAGAGAGAGAGAGAGAGAGAGAGAGAGAGAGAGAGAGAGAGAGAGAGAGAGAGAGAGAGAGAGAGAGAGAGAAGGATCAGCCGTGATCACTCCCTTTCATTGTTTCCCCTCAATCCTTGTTTTATTTTTTTCCTCCTCTGTTGAGCGTTGTCATGACAATATTGAACACAGTTTCCATGGAGAAAGGCTGAGCCCGAGCCATTTCACCATTTCATTCACATGTGGAAAGGGTCCATCTTGGCACATTATCTCGTCTGGTGGATCAACAGACTCTGAATAATGTATGGCTTTATGACGATGTCATCTAGAGCGCGGGCCCATAGCAGGCGATGGAGTATCCACAATACATAAATATAAGGGGCTTTTGTTAAATAATTATCTATTATTATTAGCCTGCAAATCCTAGACACATGTGCCGAATTATGTTATTTTCAATACCTCCGTGCTTGACTGGCCCATTTTAGTGAAAATTATGCTTAACATTTTTTTTGTATTAATGTGTGTTAAATGGCACAACCTTTCGATTACTTATTTTCAAATATATTTTAATTTGAATAAATAATTTTGTTTTTATTTGTCAATAGCTTCCATGTCATGTGACCAATTGACTTCAAATTTTTTAAAGAAACGATTGTTTTCAGTATTCATATAAAACTAAAGAACACTAAAATCCTATTTAAAAAAAGGTGTGCCCTACTGTATGTGTCAAGTGTAGTACATTTGGATTTTGATGATACAGAAGAAAACATATTTTCATTTTACAATGAAGGTATTCATATACAATAATGGAAGCACTCAACCAATAGAAAGAGGTATGAGAAATTGAAATTTGGAAAAGTTTGAAATTATATAAACATTTTGAAAATGTGAATCAAGCTGCAATTAACCAGAATTATTCTTTAATCTGGCATTAAATGTTTTGCAACAATAACCATCCCTGGGCTTCAAATATCAACATTTTCCAAAACTGTGTTCTGCCAGAGAGTGCTTCTTGATGATGACTGTCCTAAAGGGAAAAGCCCACTGACCATAACAACAAAACCCCAAATAATAAGTGAAAGCAACCCTGTGAGCGTGGATGGAGACGTAATGATCTGTGAAGAGCAGGAGAATTATTTCTCAGCCAACTATCCTAAAGAGAGTTTTCCCTCACCACAGAAGCATTATGTGTTCAGCACAAGGGCAGTCTCCTGTGGGTCACTAATGGACAACACTCCCTGCTCTCCTTTGCCCCACTGTGTGTGTGTGTGTGTGTGTGTGTGTGTGTGTGTGTGTGTGTGTGTGTGTGTGTGTGTGTGTGTGTGTGTGTGTGTGTGCGTGTGCGCATGTGTGGTGGAGAGAGAGAAAGAAAGCGAGAGGGATACAAAGTGGGAGCTCCATCAGCACTGACCCTTGTGTACTATACATCACACCAGTTCCTGCCAACGTCACCGCTCTCTTCCTCAACCTCCTTCTCATAACGACCACAGCACAAACCTCACACAGGAACAATCTGTAATCCTGGCTGCTACATTTCCCAGTCTAGCTAAGGGTCAATTTCTCTTTAGCAGAAGCTGAATGTAATGTGTGATGACTGGCTGCTACTGACAGTAATAAGTACTGATGCAATTCACCGTATGCAGCGCCCAGAGTCAGGACATATGGGAAACAGTTGAGTCACAAACAGCTTGTGACTTAAATATTACAATAAATGTTTAATCAGTGAAATGTTTTCACTGCTGAAGATACTTCAAACAACAAAACGTATAAATGTAGCCCAGTAAATTGTTTTGTGGGTTTTTTTGGACTGAAAGATGCCTAGCTATTTCCCGTTTCCATCAGCTGACCATAAGACCATCAGGCCAGGCAGCAGAGTTACTTCATTATAAGCCAATATGGCACTGATTGAGGGAGGAAAATATGAAACAAATGGTGTCTGGAGTTGTGATGAGAAATGTTGTTTGTACAGTTTTGCAGTTTTTGCACTTTCAACTGCTCATCATGCTAAAGTAAATATAATACAAATTAAGAATTAAGAATCTTTGATAGTTGACATTTTTGGGCGGGAAAGCTGAGAAGATTA